TCCTAACCATTTCAACTGGTATTTGGACACTACTCCCAAAATTCAATTCTCCGGTCGAAACTCGATTCAGGAACTCGTGTCTCTCGAGCCGCTTGCCAAACAGATTTTATAGGTAATTTTTTAAACCTTTCACAATTATTTCTCTTTCTTCTGGACCTGATGGATAATAATGGTTTCCAGAATGATTCTTTTGGGCATTCTTATACATTCTTGTTATTCTTCCAACTTATCTCTTAAACGATTAATCGTGAGTCTGGTTGGTGCATCTCTTTGTATTTAACTTATGCTCTCAGTTTTCCAGTGCCACTTAGGAATAGTTTCTTTGCTCAAAGCTCAATCGGACTTCAACAATTATTTTCAGCCGTCACACCCGAAAAAAAAATCAAACAGTGTAGTCGCTATAAATATTTAAAGAGTGCCCACATATTTTGAAGACATACTGTAGTTCTTGTCATGTAAAGCAAAACAGAAATAATTCTGGACAATAACCATAAATACTAAAGCACGTAAAGAAGGAAAGCTTTAATAAGTTTGAATGCTGCGAAAAAACCACAAATTCGCATTATTTTTTACAAATAACAATTAAAAAAAAAATTTATTCTTCGAATTATTTTGCACTTTTAAGGTATCCGACTACGTCCGGAACCGTGATTTTAAAAAAGCGCATAAATAGGTAATTGTCATGATATTTAGTGTCACTTAGATTAGAATACATGTATAAAACTGTTTTAAGGACATTTTGACAAAAAGAATTATTTAAATACAATATTTTGGCAAAAAATTAACTTTGAATAATCTTTTTTCCAAATGTTCTCCTTTTGTGAAAAATGCTTCTATGATAATAATATTTTGCCTGTATATAGCTCAGACCTCTCTACAGAGGCTCAACTAGAATTTTTGAAAAATTCACATTATTTTCAGAGTTACAACCATTTGAAATAATTACCGGCGTTTTTTACTTAAAATTTTTCCCCTCTGTTGTCTTAAAACATGGATAAACCCACTTCTAAGTTATATATTTCAATAATTCTAGTTGAGCCTCTGTACAGAGGTCTGAGCTATATACAGGCAAAATATTATTATAATAGAAGCATTTTTCACAAAAGGAGAACATTTGGAAAAAAATTATTCAAAGTTAATTTTTTGCCGAAGTATTGTATTTAAATAAATTTTTTGGTCAAAATGTCTTTAAAACAATTTTATCATGTATTCTAATCTAAGTGACACTAAATATCATGAAAATTATCCATTTATGCGCTTTTTTAAAATCACGGTTCTGAACGTAGTCGGATACCTTAAGTACTCTCTGTATTTCTCAAATACAGTTCTTTTGAAACAGTTATGAAAACCAAAAGCAAGTCTCCTAAAAGTATGTGTGGAGAAAAGTAAAAAAAAAATTGTTTAAGCAAGTAAACTTATAATTTGTGGCGATTTTAAATGAAAGAACTTGTGGAAAAGTACCCAGAACAGGACAATGCTGACACATAAAATCTGAGACAGGTCACTTTTTGTCCTTACTTTGATCAAAGCTCCCATGCCAACCTCCAAGTTTAAAGTCTACTTTACGAGAGGTGATAAGGGACCAAGAGCCGAATAGCTATCTCGACTACGTCCAACAGAAATCTTTCTGTATCACGCGTCTTTCTTTCAAGGCGTGACATAATCCGCCTTTAAAAAGACACAAAAGGTGAAACCGAAGACTCTCTCGCTCACTGACTAGAATACACTCCAGAATACCGCCTAAATCTCGAACTTAAAACCAACACTGTACTACAGCGTTTTCAAAGGGTGGGGCGTGATAACTCTACGAGGGGGGCGCGAGCATATTGAAAAGTTGAAAACTAAAGATTATTCAAAAAATTATTAATTTACTGAAAGTAAGCAAACAAAATACTTTCTGACTAATAAAATATAAAATACACATTTACACTGATATAATATACTTATAAAAGTATCTTGTGTGTACTGTACAATGCATTTTATTATTAATTTAACAATACTAAGTTAAGGACAAGTTAGATAATAATCAGTGACCCCATGGACTTGTATTAACACTTATCTTGATGATTTGTACGGTTTATATAATTAATTCCTTAACTGCCGATTAAAAGTTACGCGGTCGCTCCCCAATGCCACGGCTTTCCACGTAGACGCGCGTATTTTGATGGGTTTTTAGGGGGAGGAGGGAAAAGGAATAAATAAGTAAAATCCTCTGAAATAAGTAAATCCTTTGCAAAGACTGTCAAGGTCCTTTAATTGCATTCGAAAGCCTTAGGAATAATTTTATGGATAGCAGTGCACAGAAAAGGTCGTACTTCGGTAAGAAGTATATATACGTCCAGAAAATAACGCTTTGGCTGAGCGAGACTTTTATATACGTCGGTGGCACATAAGAAGCTAATTTTGTATTGTAGCTTTAGCGTCAAAGTATAGTATTATTGAATTCAATACAATGTTATTGTATGGAGGGGGCGCGATGAAAATGATGATTGAATATTGGGTCGCGAGTATTGAAAGTTTGAGAAGCACTGCTGTAATATGTCGACTTGAATAACTCAACGTAGACATCACACAAGTGACCAGCACCACAGTAACATCGGCATGTCACGACACAAGGTTGTGTCTAAAATTAATTTAATGTAAAATATTTAAGATAATAGAGAAATTAACAAATGATCTTATTAGGAATGCTTCAATAGAAGAGAATCTTCATTAACCAGTTGTTTCTTTTCGCACCAATAGGAGATGCTCTCGGACCTCACAACTTGAAAGAATTCTACACTAAAGACAAGCCCAACATACCAAGCAACGCGAAAAAGGACGGTCCCAGACACACGGGGGGTTGGTGGTACAATGTGTTTCCAAGCTCGAATCTCAACGGTCTCAATAACCATGGGGGATCTCACAAGAATATTGAGCAGGGAATGGCATGGAATCCTTTTGGATGGTACACCAGCACCCTTACGTTTTCGGAGATCAAAGTGAGGTCAAAGAATTTTTGAAGAGCAAAATACACGGAATGATTCTTATCGTTTGTTGAAACACAATATAAGTGTGTTCAACAAACAAGGAGGTTAATTCAAGGAGTAAAATTTTATGTCTGTGTCTCATATTTCAAATATTATACAATTAAAACTCTTTTGCTAATAAAGTCAATTCGTCATATGATCTGATTTCTTTCAAATCAGCGTCACGTTTCTGGAAGCATTCAGTTATCACACACACACACACACAGAGAGAGAAATTTATAAGATTTTCTCTCTTCCATAATCTTCAGTATATCCATTGGGAGACAGTGCTTCTCAAACTTTCAACATTTGCGATCCAACATTCAATCATAATTTTCATTGCGCCCCTCGCCCCTTCCATACAATAACAATGTATTGAATTCAATAATACTGTACTTTTAAGCTAAGGCTACAATACTACTTTAACCTTTTAAATTCCATCGGCGTATATATCTGTCTCTCTCAACCAGTGCGTTAAATGCCCTGGACGTATATATACGTCTTTCCAAAGTACTATTTTTTCTGTGCACTGCTATCCATAAAATTATTCCGAAGGCTTTGGAATACAATAAAAAGACTGTAGACAGTGTTTGTGAAGGATTTATTTATTTTCCTAAAATATTTATTCCTTTTCTTCCCCTCCCAATGCATCATATACTTGCGCCTGCATAGAAAACGCAGGCATTCGGAGCGAGTCACCTAACTTTTAATCGGCAATTAAAGGATTATTTATTAACCTTACAAATTATCACGAATATATAATTTTTGTAATATTATATATGACAAGCCCATAGGGTCACTGGTAATTATTAAACTTGTTCTTAACTTAGTATTGTTAAATTAATTATCAAATACATTGTGCAGTACTGATGCATTTATAAGTTTAGTATATCAGTGTAAATGTTAATTTTATTTATTATGTCAGAATGTATTTTGTTTGTTTACTTTCAGTAAATTAATATTTTTTTCTAAATAATCTTTTGTTTTCGACTTTTCAATATGCTCGCGCCCTCTTCGTAGAATTATCACGTCCCCTAAGGGGTGCGCCAACAGTTTCAGAAACGCCGACCTATGAGGTAAAGCTATTCCATAATATAGAGATTAAAAGAAAAATAATTTGAAAAAAAATTAAATTCAAAATTTAATATTGCCGCAAAAAAGGTTTGAATTTTCGAAAAAAATGGAAAAAGAAAATTTTGTTTTTGTTTTGATGATTTTAGACTCCAAACAATTATGAATGGCCAAAAGTGATGATTACTGATAAGTGAGAACTGTGTGAGTAAGGAGTAGTACAATGTACATTGCAACATTTCAGAACCCAGCTCTCTTACCGTACAGTTGAATTAGTCCCATCCAAGCTTTTTTCGGTTTTCCACTTTATCGCGCACTGCCATTTCAACAAAAGATTTTTTTAAAATTCAATACTAAAGAACCTGTTAAAAAAAAGTGTGTGTGTACTTATGTACGCACGTAAGAAGTTATACTTCTTTGGCGTAACAAGATTAAAATCTTTCTAAAAATCTTTAGCAGGGCAAGCTGGGCCAAGGACGAAAGGCGGTCACGAGCAGAGTTGAACGATACTAACCTTCAGTCAATCGGACCAGCCAAACTTGAGATAATCACGATTTAAATAAATTTAAACACCCCCGCACAGGGACAATAGGACCCATAATATGGGGAGGGGGTCGAAGACTGGAATGATCTGTCCCGTTCTGCATATTTCTAGACAAAGCATTTTCGTATCCGTTTTTACGGAACGCAAAGCAAAGGTTTGCTGACACGGGGTGTATAGCTTAGTGGTAGAGCATTCGGCTGCAGACCAGGAGGTCCCCGGTTCGAAACCCAGGTGCCCCCATTTTCAGGGAAGTGAAGAGAAATAATTTGTTTGAGAATTTCGAAGGCGGCAATGATCTGTCTCATTCTGTATATTTCTAGACGAAGCACATTTTCGTATACGTTCCTTCAGAACACAAAGCAACGGCTCGTTGACGCGGGTGTATAGCTCAGTGGTAGAGCATTCGGCTGCAGATCGAAAAGTCTCCGCGGTTCAAACCCGGGTGTCCCATTATTCAGGGAAGTGAAGAGAAATATTTTTCTGAGAATTTCGAAAGCGGGAATGATTTGTCCCGTTCTGTATATTTCTAGACAAAGGATTTTCGCGCATCCGTGACGGTGTGCACGCGCACTGTAAAAATTTACCCTCATCCTATTTCTCTAACGCCCCAAAAGAAGTATAACTTCAAAAAGTACCTGATGTTTTTACTTGTAACTCTTAGTAGGTTCTCCCTCATCACTATAAATGTTAAAAATTACCAAAGTACATATAAAATTACTTTTTTTTCCATAAAAATGCTGAAGTACTTAAACTTTATTCCCTTCGTGGCAGTAAGTAATTTAGAAAAATTAATTTTTTACTTTTTCTTCATCTAAATACCGTAGAACATCTTTTATGCATAGGTAGGTTTTAGAGCTCTGAAAAATGTTTTTAGTTCGATCCTGATATCTATTTTCTTACTTTTGTTTTTTATATCTCTCGTAGTATAGCTGAGGTCTGCAACCTTTTAGCTGTGGCGTGTCAGACCAATCTACCAGTATGATGCAGCTGCCACACAGTAGGACATTTTTGAAAGAATTCGATTCCCACAATAATGTATGTAGAGTTAGAGAATAGAGGTCAATAATACAGTTTACAGATTTATTATATATTAATTTTGCATCATATAAAAATATTTCTTAACATAAAAATAGACGGCATAAAATATAATTATTTCTTCAACAAAAATAAAAAAGTTAATGCTGTACATATCTTATATATATTTTTAAACATATTTATTAAAATAAGAAACAGACAACTTTAAAATATAAGTATTTCCCTTCATTATAGTGAAATAAAAAGATAAATAAAAATTTTAATGCGAACCTAGTACTTGTACCTACGATTTTCAGCATTCAGTTAATTAACAATTTCTTTGCGAAGACTAAATATTTTTCATAACAGGAAAGAATTTTTAGTTAGACACGCAGAATCAAAAGCGGAAAACAGAGTACATGCAATTTTCTTTCCTTAAATAGTCAAATCTCCCCAGCAATGACACTCAATAATTTACAGAATAGCTGTAAATTAATCTCTATAGTTATCTTTCAGATTTTTTTTGTTTTTCCCTAAATGTCCATTACAAATTTATCAACTTCCATCCACTCAAAATTTGACAAATGTGTAATAGGTCAGACTGCCACTGAGAATTGTACCGCGTGCCGTTGGTGGCCGACCCCTGTTGTAGAAAATTAAAGGGTGCTTAAGATACAAATTTCAATCATTGTTTTCTATCTTCGGATAGGGATGAAGCTTTAGATTTTAGGTTTTTTTTAGAAAATTTGATTACTTATATTCACAGGAAGGTTTTGCACAACATACCTCATGAATATTAAAATGTTACCAAAGAACTTTGTTTCTTATGCAATACAAAATTTTCATATATATGAAATAATTCCCTCCAATATACTTTTCAGGAATTTTAATTCTCTGGTCCAGTCCTTCAGGACAATTGTTGAATTATTTAAATTTGCCTGCTTGCATGTTCAGAACTTTAATCTTAATCGAATAGTAGGATTGCATCAGAAACTCGCTCCCCTCAATTTTTAACCAATAGTGGCTTCTGTTAGAAAAGAGTCACGCGACCTTCACAGCCAGTATAAAAAAGCAAGAGTTCTTTGTACTCAACCTCTTTGTTCCTTTGTCTGCATCATGTAATAGTATCTGCTTGTTTTTGGTTTATATGTGTGTGTTCGTACAATTTAGTTAATTAGTCCAAATGCTGTTAAACTTCAAATGTGTGTGTTACCATGAATAAAAGAAGAATAAAATTAATTGATCCGTTAAAATCATTTTCCGTTAATCAAGAATCCAACAGCCAACATGAATAACCATCGGCTAACACTACATACATATACAAAATTTTTATCCTACAGAACCTGAATAATGTACAATAGGACTTCATTACGAACTATTTGTTATTTTCTATGCAGTCACAGAAAGAAAATAATTTCTGCATTATCGGAAATACTTTTATAAAACGTGAAATATTTTGTGTTTTAGAATAAGTCACGATCGACAATGAAGTTAAACTATTCATAAGTTGTGTGCATGATATTAATGATAGCTATTTGGAAAAAAATAAGTGTTATATTTTTCCAATTCAATTAGATTCCAATAACTTTATAGTCAAATTTTAATTAATATATTCCACGTATCTTCTAACTGAAAAAGTAATAAATATCGTTTGGTGCTCTCTCTTACTAGATAATTTCCCAACGTCACAATAACCATGTGTTTCTTTACACCTATAAGGGATGTCCAAATGAAAAGTCGACATGATGAATTAAGAAAATACCTTAATTGAAAGTAAGCAAGTAATATAAAAAAATTAAGTCAATTCCTACTTATGTCAAAAAAGAAAAATTTTATTTTACTTATTTTTTATTAAATAATTACACTTAATATAAATATGTATATACTTCTGTCAGAATTACAATATTAAGTTGCAAAATAGAAAGCGATTTTCCTAGCAATTATCCGTTTTCCTTTCTATATAATGTGTTGGACTATTATTTTCGTTTGTTACTATATTATTTCACAATTAAATTTAAATATTCCAAGAAAATAGTATAGTACAAAAAAAGAACTCATTTCATAAATTAGGCCATCCCAAGTGGGATTCTAACCCACGACCTTCGGATTAGAGGTCCATTGGGCTGCAGAGACATATCGACAGCTTTTTCTTTTTATATGTGGTGTTGGACTATAATATTAATTAATTAAATAGAATTAATGAATTAATATTTGAAAAAACTATATTAACATCAAGTGTCATCCACTACAAGTTAAAAAAAATTTATTTGAACTTGAGTGGATGAATAAAAGTTATTTTATTAACAATGGAAATTTGATCAGGATATATATATATATATATATATATATATATATATATATATGTGTTGTGTGTGTGTGTGTGTGGTCCCAGCCGCTATTTCCAAGCCACTCCATTAAATGTACTGCGCATGCGAAGGAGCTTTCTCAGTGTTTTGGGAGCCTACCAGTTGTTAGACACTCTACGAGACGTACGACGCCATGTTAGAAAAAGAACGAACAATGCCATGTTAAAAATGACGAGATGCAAGATCACAACTGCTCGTGTTTGTTAAAAAACTACTGAAGACGAACTCTTTCGCATAAATGTCGAACTGCTCTGTATTGTAAATTATGTAAATAGTTATGAACAATTATAAACTTAAAAATAAATAAAGACAGACTACTACTCTGTTGTAAAGAAGCCATACCTGACCAGCCTTATATATATATATATATATATATAGGCTAATTCTCTACTAACAAGAGATAACATCCAAACAATAACATTCGAAAAACACATAGACAGTAGGAAAATCACACAATGAAGGACATATGAGTAATCGAGATTAAAAATTATAAAATGGATGCTGCAGTGTTATAAACATTACTGACTTAGGACAGCTATTATATAAAATTATTTATTTAAAAGGGGGGTTGAACATGTTTTTTGGCCAGCCAACCTTCCCCCTTTTTTTGTAAATAAAACTGAGCAAAAACCATTAGGAAATAATGGATAGGAATGTCTAAATCCATTATAAGATAGATAAGATGGATAAGATATCTAAATCCATTATAACTTACCTAAAAATTGCACTTACAAATGCAAAGCCCACGCTAAATCTGAGTGCAATAAATAAGTTATTGCCAGTTTCTATACCTTAATACATACTTAAATCAAGTGAAGGGCTGAAATGTAGCACTTAACAAAAGTATAAAAAGAATGGAAATAAAAATTAATAAGAGTTGCATATACAGCATAACTTTAATAACACTAGAGTAAATATGAATAAAATAATAATAAGTAATTTTATCTAATATTAGATTATGGACATAACTATAACTATGAAATATTTAAGTTTATAGTAATAAACTATTATCAATCTCAGAATTATATATACATATATATGTAGTATTGTAGTAGCGTTGTGTGGCCGGTGCTGGTTGTGGTCATATCTGATTTAATTAAGACATCTTCCGAATAACTTTACCTCCTTTATCCTTTACATCAGCATATTAAAACACAATTGCTTTACATTTTCACTTTGAATAGGCAGCGGCATGTTGGAGGACACAAAGACAGAAGCAGCAGTTATTTACAATCTCACATGATGAAGGCAAGCAGACAAAAGAGAGCGCGATTACACAAGATTTTTGCTTTTATACCAGCGGTGCAAGAGCGTGACTATTATGTAATAGTAGTTCTGATTGGATAGAATGTGCGGGACAGGGATTTCGGTTTAGCCGATTACGATTAAGGTTACAATGTTATTTTAGACCAAAGAATTAAAGTTTGTTTAAATATTGTGACATAGCCATCTGTCGATAGCTATGACGTGGAGTTCCGCGTAAGTTAGAGGTGTGGGATTATCGGAAGGATGAGACATTCTATAATTCTTAATATGACTTTTATTAAGAATTTAACTTAATTTACTTATATAACGAACAAACTTATTTTAAGTGAGAATAAACCAAAGTATGCCGATTTATTTAAGTCAGATCGCACAACTAGATCACTTATCAAAATATAATTAATTATCTGCCTAATCTCGCTTCAATATTATATTAGCTTTCAGAATATAATCTTCCTACCTTGGTTGAAGACTCGACGATTCTGATACTTGCAGGTAGACTTATGTGCTCGCGTGCAATCCTTCCTCTTTGTAATTATTAGCGAGGGTGGGCGTCTCCTTGATTGAGTAGCCGTCTAATCTCACTTCCACTTGATCCACACTAAGCTTTCTCTAAGATTGCCATTCCTTCTCACTAAACTTTCTATCCTTTTAAAGGTTATCTTATTTGCATTGTTGCTTCGTTTTTCCTCTTGGAATTGGGTTGGAAAAGTTTTGCCATTAATCGTGGCCGTCAAAGAACGTAGGAGATATGTTAGAAGAAGAACGCGAGAGATGTCACAATATTAGTACAAAGAGCTAACAAA